GAGAGAGAGAGAGAGAGAGAGAGAGAGAGAGAGAGAGAGAGAGAGAGAGACCACTTTGAGCATAAAATAAATTTAGGAATGAAGATGAATAAGCAGAATAAACAATAGCCCCATCTGGTGGTATTTTGGATATGAATTTAATTTAGGCAGTGACGTGCTAGAATATATTCTGTATCATTTAATGTAAATATATATTTACGTTTACCATTAAAGTACAGGAGTTTCCCTCAAGAACAGGCCTTTTTCCCTCAAGAACATTTATAATTTATACAAAAATCAGATATTTCATATTAATCTGTAATAACCAGAGTAACAAATAATAGAGTTTTCTATATTTCCTTGCTACCATCTACTGCTCTTCTGGATTTTTGCAGCACAGAATTGTTATATATTCATTACAATAGCTGAAGTCTACAGTTTTTCTGCCACATTTCCAGCTTTACTATAAACTACATAAATGAGTGTTACCTGTGTTTAAAAGACAGTAACTGGAAATCTATGATACTTTGTTAGTCAATCAATATTATATTAGTGAGTTAATGACCAGATCTTTTCCCCACTATTCTACTACCAATATATTGATTTACTCATTTCACATACCAGGCATTACAGCCAGTGGCTCTTTGGTTGTTGATAATGATTTTGGTAAATACTAGAAATAGTTAAATATTGCCTAAAAGTATCATGACACTGCCAGCTGAAAATGAAAAAAAACCCTTTAACTCTTCAGAATGGTGAAAAAAATATGAACTAAAAAAAGAATGAGGGTCAATTGAAATACTAAGTGCACTGAGAGTTTGTGAGCATGCCTATAACTACCTATCATTTCCATTACCCAAATCTTCAAACAAAACTTGATGGTAATTATCTCAGTATCAGCAAAACTCAAAAGACATAGAATGCTGCTATGGAAACTGAATCCCTTGGGTAAAACTAATGGGAGTTAGATGATGAAGAAGTTCTCACCAAAGGCAGAATGGACCACTTATAAGTTCTGCAGAGCTGTAGCCTTTCAAGTGAAAAGACCAGCTTTGTTGCAGTTTTGGATACACACAGCAGACACATTAACAAACCATTTGGCTTCTTGATACAGTTAGCATGATGAGACTGGACAACATGAAGCTGCTCCTAAATTGATGAATCCCACCTTTTCTCCAAGAACAGAAGGTGGAGTCTTTAATCCTCCTCAACTTGTAATCACTAGGATAACAATCCTAGAATGTAAGTTGGGTGGAGAATAAGTGATTGGCTGAGCCACATTTCATATCTGAGGATGGATTAATACAACGCTCTATTATAAAATGATATTGATCAATCAATTAATTGAATTACAATGCTGAATAATAAAATGATCAGTGAAACAAAATGGAAATATATCACTTGAAACAGACAAGAGTTATATGGATATAGTCTTTTTTATGGACCTATAGACAGAATTAGCACCTTTTCCTCTTCAGTTGATTGACCCTTATATAACAACTGCTCAGTCCTTTTTTTGTTGTGATAATATTTAAGAGACACATAGAATGTTATCAAAATTATTAATTTTATTGTATTGTTAACATATGCCCTCCTGAAACTTTTATATAATAGGAATTAACATACAAAATAGTCACCAGTAAATTTACAATTGTACCAGTAAATATTACAATCTTAAAAAAGCTAATACAATAGCCTAAAATTCAGGTCCATATGGTATCCAAACTGAGACTCAGAATTTGTTCTTTCATTCCACCTCAAGTAAAGAATCCGCTGAAAGCAAGTTTACATAGTGAAGCTAAGTAAGCTTTTTGTTGCACTCTTCTCTCTGGGGTCTTGGACAATTGGCGTCAGCCAGATTACTGCACTCACTTCTCCGTGGGCCCCCACCACAGCCAACCTACCACCAGCATTTATGTTCAGCGGGCTCTCCAACAGCACTCCTCCCCCAGCAATAGCCTGCTGGCAGTCCTGCCCTGCCCCTACTCCCAGCTGAGTCACTGAGGAACGCTTCTTCCTAGGCATTTCACTACACAGACCGGCACTGGGAGGCTCATTTAAGTGTCTTGTGCAGCAAAATACCCAGTAAGAAGTGTCCCTTAGTGACTCGACCGGGAGAAGAGGGCCCACCACACATAAATGCTAGTGGTGGGTTGGCTGCAGTGGGGGTCCTGCAAAGAAGTGGGCACAGTAATCTGGACAACACCAATTGTCCCATTCTGTCTCTCTGGAGACCATCCAGTGATATATAGAGAGAAAGTTGGGCATATTCTTATACATTTGGAAAATAAATACAAAGCTGTGATTAGTGATAACAGATAAAATAGTATCAGGTGTGTCCTAAATTACTAATGTAAATATTTTGAACTAAATAACCTTTACCTATTAAAGCTATACTGTAGTCAGTGTGTCATTAAATATGTATGCTCCATTTTGATAGCAAATGTTTTGTTAAGAGACATAAAATGGTTTAGTACAAGGTTTTTAATTTAACAAAACTTCCTCTATAAATACCATCTTGCTGCAATCTGTCTTATCACAGTAAAATCATTCAAACACAACCTTCTGGTATTTACTAGCTATATAATTGTGCAAACAATTAGAAAGTGTCTGTCTTTTGAATATGCAAAACTATGTCATTATCTGTCTATCCTAGAGAGGGCAGTAGCCCCCACAAATAGTAACATATAAAAGCAAGCAATTAAAAAAAAGGATGCAAGGCTACTAAAGTCAATTTTTATTTTAAAATGAAAACTAAATTTTAAAAAGACATTTGTATTTTCAGTCAATAAAAATGGACAGATATAAAAATCAATTCTTTTTACCATTTATATTGCTCAATTCTACAAAATTGCATATGTTATTTCCACAGCTTTTCAGGGAACAAAGATCAGCCCTCTGAATAAGCACAAGCTATAGATTTCAGAATTTTCTTTAAAACCTCTTTATATTTGGAAACAAAGCATAGTCAAGACGGAAATTTCTGAAATTACACTGAAGAAAGGACACAGAAATAGTAAATACATTCCATCACATAAAGGAATGTTCTTTTTTCAGAGATTTTACATGAGGTATGTGATAACTGAAACTATTTTAACTTGTAAATTTGTTACCATTTAACCATTTATAGATAAACCATTAACTCTTTTTAAACTGAGAAGAAGGATTTAGTGATCAGTAACTAACTTGAATATATTTGAGGCTACTAAAATAAACGTGTTGATTCTTGTAAAGAATTTCCTAGGAAAGCGATACAATGAAATTTGTGCTTAAGGATTCTAATAGGGCTATGATCTCTACAAAAACAGTTCAGGAATACATTGGTGTGACTTTGAAACATCTCTCTTCTATTCATTAAAGCAGACCCTCCTTTTTCAAGCTTTAATGAATAACAGAAAAGTGCTCATGGGAGGTCCAAGATACTTCTTCCAAATAATTTTTGAAGCATCCACAGCCCAAATGCTGGACAGTAAATTGATGCATTAGTTGCCTTTACTGTATCTCTCAGAGATAAACAAAATTCTGAGCATATAAAAGGATTACATAACATTTTGTGTTATGTATAATACTTTTCAGGAAACAGATATGCTTCTGTGAAGGCATCTAAAGCTTAGAAGGAAAATCCCATAATGGCTAAGAGAAGCTTCAGGAACTTTGCACGGAAGCTGAAACTGGAGATCTTCTTAACATTACTGTTCTCATTTCCTGTCAGCAAATTTCACATTGATGGAATCTGCAGGCGTCAATAATCCATGAGTTTTGGCAAAAACTGATTTAGTTTTTGGAGATCTTTTTATTTCAAAATGCTGAAGTAACTAATAGGAAAAATGGAATAATATCAGGATTAATAAAAATGAAATATTAGAAAGGCAGCAATAATAGTTAGTAGTTCTAGAAGTCCACATCTTATAAAATATACTACACATTGTATTTATTTAATTATACAAAGACCAAAACAAATATGCTGGAAAAAGATAAAAGAAGAAAAAAACCCATTGTTAAAAAACAAAACCTATATAGAAAAATGTATATAGAAAACTTTCAAAAATTAAAAAAGTACAGTTAACTATCTGAGAATGAGGGTAATTGAAACAAATAAGGTGACTCTTCTAGAGCTACATAATGACCAATGAGCTAAGAGGAGGATGGAAAGGGTTAAAAAAAGGCATTACGGTATTAGATTGACTCACAGTGCCATCTAGGAAGGACAAGACAAAGCACATGAGAAACTGTTTGCTCTTTCCTCCAGTGCAGGGTTTCATTCCAATATAAAATTACGGATGATGAAACCTCAAATAATGAGAAAATGCCAATAGAATACTTTCCAAAGCCTATATAGTCCTCATCCACTTCTCATCCCATACAAGTGTTCTGTTCCATTTTGATGTTCCCAAATAGTGTCAAAAATGTGACTTTACGATGAGAAACAGGCAAAGTTTTGATGAATGCTAGAGCATGGCCTTTTCTTCTTATCTTCTGGCTAGTTAAGTCTACTCTCCATAGATCTGACCCTATTAGTATTTGGAGATCGCTTTAAATTATCATGGCTTTTAAAAGCCCTAGATAAAGTCAGTTGCTGGGCTTCTCTAGGGAAATTCTGTGCACGTTACACTTTGATAATGCTAGAGCTGCCCTTAAGCAATGAAACTGGATATAGATTTTCAAACAAGCTTAAGTAAGGAGTGACACTCCATTATTTATCATTTGCTCCCCAAAAGGTCTCTTCCAGCCACATATTTATCATCCATTCCAATTTTAAAATTACATTTAGCCTTCACTTTAGCCAGGTTGGATTCTATGCCCTCAGCAGTCATTTTGGATGTTTTAAAGGCACTCCTTTGCATTTTTGGTTATGTTCATGTGGTGATGATTCAATAGAAACCATAGGCCATATGCTATTATAGTATAAGGACTAGACAGAACCTTATATATCTTGTCTTGAAGACATTTTCAGGTAAGGAATGTGATTTGTATTTAATGCTACTATTCTCAGACAAGGATTCAAAAAGAACATCTCAAGTTGCACGGTTCTGTGCTGTCACTGTATGATACACTGTACCATTACTTAAGATTGGAACTTCTTCTAAGAGTATTTTATTTGGATTTATTTTAGTAACTATGTTTTTAATTATTTTTAGACTCCATTAGCAATGTTTTTCTCTTATACAGACGCCCATACATATAGAAAAGTGTAATACTTCTTTTATTCAATATTTAGATTGTATCTGCCTTAGGATGTAATAAACTTGAATTGAATTGCTCTGTGCAATTTATCTACATTTATTCTTTCTTCCTTCTCCCCTGGTCAGAGCAGATCTCACTGGATCAGCCTAGGTTCAAGGGCTCTATGACATCCTCACAATAGCTTGTGTCTTCTTCTATTTTTGGTTCTATTATGTACCTTTGAGTCAGTTTTTAACACCTAGCAACTCCCTGGACAAGTCCCTGCAGTTTTCTTGGCAAGGTTTTTCAGAAGTTGTATGCTATTGCTAGCTTCCTAGGGCTGAGACAGACTGACTGGCACAGGGTTTCCCAGAGGGCTTTGTACCTAAAGTGGAATTAGAACTATAGTCTCCTGTTTCTAGCCTGACGCTTTAACCAAACTGATTCTGTCTTCTTCTATGAATTGACTTAATTTGCTGGCAATTGAAAGAGTTACCCCACTTATGTCACAGTGGCTCAAGCTGGCTTCTTTCACAGTCTCAGCAGAGAGATTTCTTGATCATGATGCTGAGCATAAATTCTAACACAAACCATTCATGACAACTGAAATGAGCCATAAGCAGTTTGCAAGCAGTGGGAGCATCCGAAGGCATGATGGAGATTGCCATAAGCAGTCTGCAGGGCACGTCAGGATGGAGCAATATAACTGAGAGACCCCTCAACTGAGATTGTGAAATAACATGAAACATGCAAGAGGAAAGCTAGCATGAGTCATGAATGGCACTGCCAGTTCAGCAAGTCACTGCAAACAGAAAAAAAGGCCAGCTGATGCAAAGAAGCCATTTTTACCCTTTTGACCAAGCAAGGAGGGGCAATATTAGTACACTGAACAAATAGCCTAAAGCAGGGGTTGGCAACCTTGGCTCTTTTATGACTCGTGGACTTCAACTCCCAGAATTCCTGAGCCAGCATGGCTGGCTCAGGAATTCTGGGAGTTGAAGTCCACGAGTCATAAAAGAGCCAAGGTTGCCTACCCCTGGCCTAAAGCTAATCCCCAACAAACTACATTCTAGGTAAATGGAAGCTCATTATCCATTTTCTATATACATTAAATAACAAAAAGCAACTCACCTCTAGGCCAAAACTGCAGCTAAGTAGCAGATAAATTACAGATATACTGTGTTTCCACGAAAATAAGGCCTACCCCGAAAATAAGCCCTAACTTGATTTTGGGGTGTGGGCCTAATATAAGGCCTACCCAAAAAATAATCCCTAGTTTTGGGACAATGCACAAACTTAAAAATCAAGCTAGGGCAGAGATGGGGGGTGGATCTGCCCCACGCGCCCCATACCTGCTTACCTTACAGCCAGGCCTCTCCTCGCCAGCCCACTTCTTCTGAGGCATCTTCTGCAGCCAGGCCTGAGCTCGGTTCTGCAAGACCTCTGCAGCTGAGGATTGAGCTATGGATTCAATCCATAGCTCGGTACTCGGCTGCATAGGCCTTCCGGAAAGGCCTGACTGCAAAATGCAGGCCGGAATGCACTGCAGAATGAAGCTGCTCCTTCAGCCCCAGAAGAAGTGGATCAGCTGGGCGGGGCTGTCAGTGCTGGAGGTGAGTATAAAAGACATCCCCTGAAAATAAGATCTGGTGCCTCTTTTGGAGGGGGGGAAAAAAGGACCCGGTCTTATTTTTGGGGAAACACGGTACTAAAGTCTTGTCTCTTTTTATCATAGATATATAAAATCATGGATAAGGAGACTGTGGATAGCAAGCATTACCTGTACTCTTGGATAGGGAAGAATCAAGTACCTGATGTTCAGACAATGAAAGATTGCTTAGAAACTCTAATTCTTTTGGCATGCTTCTGAGAAGATTGGTGCACAGTTTCAATACAAGGATTCAGAGAGGAAAGTAGCTTTTTTTTTTTTGCACTAGATTTACCCAAAGGACCTGCTGCCTTATTTATTTTCTATAGTTTTATACAGTTCATTGCTTATGAAGAAAGTGAACAGAAGATGTGGGACATCTTCCTTTTTCCAATCTGTGATAGCATCTGTCATGTCTTCATCTACAATGTTCTTAGCCTTATTGCTAATAATAATTGTGGTGCAGTTGATTCTTTCCCCACATCCTCATTCAGATTTTACAGAATATAATCAAAAGGGGCATTTTCATATAAAGCACCAGTTTTTCTAAGGAATCTGGAATATCTAGTTATTCTCTGGAGTTGGCAGCAAAGAAAACTGAGTTTTTCCTTTTCAACACAGAGTGTTTGGTCTGTAAAAAGAAACTAGGGCAGAAAAAACTTCAAATAGCTATCCTCTGAATCACCAAGCCCGCCTAGCCTTGAGGAAGACAAGGTAGAGAGTATTTTCCCCCTGGCTTTAGCACTAAATTAGAGTTCCTTGCTGACTCAGAATATTCAAGGAGAATGTTTGTTTAATAGCGCTTAGGTTATTCTAGATAACAACAGCCAATAAGTGGGGGTGGGAGGAAACTCATTCTCCTCAGTCTTGAGGAATGGAAGGTAAGAAGCCAAAAGAGAACTAGCAGTAGTTCTGAATAGAATGTCTATTCACACTTGCTATTTGCAAGCTCTGTCACCATTTAAAACAGCCTGTAAGCCTCTTCCACCTCTAGCTTAGAGGAAAAGACAGAGAGAAGGTGCTAGAAGTCCAACATCTTCCTCTCTGATTCAAATGGTTGGAGTGGTGCTTTTTAGGGTATGTAGGGCAGTTAAAGGATTAAAAAACAGTAGTTGCTTGTTCACTGCATTTTTTCCTTTTACCCGTAACATTTTATATTTTTTTTCGACAAAAGAAGCTTTAGTAGGTATAACTTGCTTACCTGTATTAGTGCAAGATGAATTTCCAATTCAGCAATTCGCTTGCCTATGCAACTTCGAATACCATAACCAAAAGGGATGGATCCAAAATTATCTACCCTATCCATATTGGTTTTCCTTAGCCAGCGTTCAGGTTGGAACTCCTTTGCTGAGGCAAAATTCTCTTCCTGATATGAAGTAGCATAATGACAGAGTGCCAATTGTGTCTAATAAAGTAAATACATTGCAGAATATATATAAATCAATCCCCAAGTGCATGTACTTTTTTATAATTTCACAAATATCAAAACAGTATGACAAAAATGTTTACCATGTTATATATTGCTTCAAATATGATTCAAAATAAAACCACAATAGCCCTGAATAAGCTATTAGTGTAATAGACACACAGTTGTAACGATTAAAATAATAGTTGTTATTTATTAAGTTTGTATTTAAACCTGCCAGTATTTTTTAACCTCATAAAAACATTATTTTAAAATTTACTCAGTATTTGTGGGAGGGGAAATTTATAACCAAAGTCTATCTCATCAGATCCATCTTAATTAGATTTCATAAACTAGCAAATACAAATTAGCAATTCAATGTCTGTTTTAGAAAGGTGTTGCTGTCCACAAGGGATTATAAATCACTATTGATGTATTTCAGGTCCCCTTTCACTTGGCTGCCCACCCCAACATAAGCAGCACTTTTACACCTGTGCATATTGCTGGCAAGTAACCTAGTTTTCCTTTCCTTGAGCAAGGTCAGTTCACTCTAATTAATCAGACAGTACAAAAATGGCATCTGGCCAAGAGTCTGCCTTCTTTCTTGTTCTTCCATCAGCACAGCTATGAGGAAAATATATTTTAAAAAAAACAAAAAAACAAAATCCAATTGGACAGAAGTGGCAAAGCAGGGTTGAAGGTGGCGGAGACAGAATTGGATTTTGAAGGTGGAATTCAAATTCCTCTTCTCGAGTTCCCACATGAGAATACTGTTAATAAATCATAATTTAAGGATAGGCAGTTAAGAGGCATAGATTATTTCAGTGTTTAAGTTAATAATCTCATATTAAAACTAAATGAATCAAATATGAGACAATTTCTTGCCTCATACTTTTATATACAGTGGTACTTTGGTACTCAACTGCCTTGAAACTTTGGTACTCAATGCATTTTGACGCAAAATTTTTGTCCTGGTACTGATCGTTTGTTTGGTACTCAATGTACAAGCTAGAATTTGTCATTGTTGGCTGCCTTGTAATTCACATTATTCCTTATGGGAAAAAATTTGTTTAGTACTCAGTTTTTGGTACTCATCTCGCCTCCTGGAACCAATAAATAATCAATACCAAAGTACCACTGTACCCAAAACAAAGCTTCAGCTTTTTCTTTCGCAGTCTTTTGATAGAATCATTGCCCTACTCACCCCTTTAGGTATCAAGTAGCCTCCAACAATCATATCTTTCTGTGTCACTCTACCATTTCCTGGTAATACTGGAAATAATCTACAAATAAGTGTCAGTTAGATATTTACTGTCTATATCATATTCAGAATATTTTGATGATAACAAATACATTACATTATTCAGGATCACAAAAATTTTAGAGAGATTGTGAAAGGTTTCAGATTGTATAATTGTTAATAGAATGAGATAAAATATTAAAAGTAATGAATAAAATAAATAAATAGAAATAGAAAATAAAAATAAAAATAACAAATACAATGTGATCAATAAACCAGGGCAAACCAGACAGGTATTTTGACCAGGTGAACTAATTCAACTTTATTATAAGGCAACATTAACAGAATCTTGCAAATCTGAAAACACAAATCTCCCACCAACACTTTTAACTGCCTGATCCATTAGGGCGGGCCTTTCCTAAGTTTTGTTCTCTGACTGTTAAGCCATTGGCAGCTCCCCTCTCCTAGTCTGATCGTTTCCTAGGCAGCATCTCTTCCCCTCACTCTCACATGCCATTACAAATCCCATACAATTTTAGCTAGAAATATTCTCACAATGTTCAGTGGAGTGATTTTACAACTAATCAGGCACATATCGCCCAATAAAATGATAAAGACAGTGAAACATCTTTTTTAGCTAGAAATCATATGAGGCAGTTACAACATATTTCTAGAAAGGACTTCTAAGTAAAGCAATCTGTTTAGGGGGGTTTTGTATGATTTTTGTACAGAATAAATCAAAATAATGTTCAATGCTTTAATAGAATTCATTGGAGACAGTAAAAAGAAATCTTGCCCTAGAAAATGATGGTTTCACAAGAATTTATTCAATTTCTTGGAAGATAAATCCATCAGTTACTTCTGGTTCTACTTGACAAAATAACCTTTGTGTTCAAATGTTGCATATTTCCCATTATCTTTACTAAGAAAATATATTTGTTCACCATTGTTTTCTCTTCTCTAAATTTTCTGCCAGCCAAAGTTGGAGATAGAGATTAGGTTAAAACTAATGGGAAATTGTATTTTCCTCTTAGAAAATGAAACAGCATGAACTCTGGTCTCTTGTGCTCATTCTCTTTGGATTACAAGAAGAGACTAAAAGCTTCTCCTTTAGCTTTTGAAAATGCTATATATAGCTATATATAGTGGCTTCAAAAGCAATTTATATTCAGCTTTTGAAAATATTTGGGCAACACAGTGGCTCAGCAATTAAGCTGCTCGGCTTGTTGGCTGGAAAGCTCCCGTCCTCACCCCAGCTCCCATCCTCTCCTCAGCTCCTGCCAGCCTAGCAGTTCGACAGCATGAAAATGTGAGTAGATAAATAAGTAACACTTTGGTGGGAAGGTAACAGAGGTCTGTGACATCAAGTGGCCACATGACCACGGAAATGTCTTCGGACAATGCTATCTCAGTGGCGTTGAAACAGAGATGAGCACTGCCCCCTATAGTCAGAAACTATTAGCTGAGTAAAATCTGCAGGAACTCCTTTACCTTTTAAAAAAAAATAGTATTGTTTTGAAATTTATGGAACTAAATTTTCTAGTATATTCTGGTACCAGTTAGTAGTAAACATAAACTATTATTTATTCCTATCCTGTTTTAATCAAAGGGCAATCTATAAATTGAGTTTAGACACAGAATTTGACGATCAAAAACTAAGATTAGCTCAAAAGTTTAAGCGAAACTTTTCTCTCTCTTCTCACTGTATATAAAAAAACAAGAAGGGAGGCATTAAAGTGGGCAGGTTTTGGCATGGCAAAAAAGCTCCTCACTCTCACCGTATCTAAAAGGAGAATAAAATAAATTGCTAGCTCTTTTACCCCATCCCTATCCACATTTTCATTCATATTGTATGAATCTGTCTGGGTGTTTGAAGCAAACAAACAACTAGGAGTGGCAGCCATGAGGAAAGCTTATCATCTTCAAAGCCACCTTTTCTCCTGTATTTAAAGTCTTTTGCAAGTTATGGTAGGAAATGATAGTTTGTAGATAATCAGGATTTTTCCAATACTGTAGCTGTAATTATGGTTGTAGATTTTTGGATTGGGAGAGAGATACACTCTACACAGAACCTACAGCCAGAAACTATAAACAGGATATTGAAATTCTTGTTCAGAGTTGGTAGAATTCTTGGGTTCCTGAGCCCCAGGAACCAAGAAGTGGTATGAAGCAAGAGTTCTAGACAGAGTCAAAAACAAATCAGAATCAAGCTCACTAGAGCCACAGTGAAGAAAAAATGGTTTGCTTCTTTTTAAATGCTTTAAACTAAACTACATCAGGGCCAAGAGGAAAATAAAATCTCTTCAGTTCTCAAAACTAGCTGGCTCAGATCAAGAGCTGGTTCTGAAGAAGAACAAAGCTCTTCTATGAAAGTGCTTTTTAATGCTTTAAGCCAAAATCATCCAAATTTAGTAAGTATGATACTCTGTTGATCTAGTACTTTGAAAATTGATTCTGATGCATATAATATTTAGTTAAGATTATTTAGTAGCCATTTAGCTTAACATTTGCACACATGACTATGTCAATTTGTTTGTAGTATTAATCAGAATAAAATTGGTATCTGTTTCTCATTATCATCTATATTCATTAAAAAGAACCTCCCCCTCCCAAAACTAAACTGTTTGTCATTTAAGAGCTGACATGGAGATCCAAATGGCAAGATTCTTAATAAATTTTGGCCCATGACAGAAATGGTTAATTTTCTTAGTAATCCTGAAAGGAAAGCAAACATAGGCAGTTGGGAAGCAGAATTCTAATAAATTCATTTTGGAAAAAATTACTATATATATAAGAATACATTTTGAAGGATATAAATGCTGCAAAGTGTCAACCATATCATTGCATGGGTTTCATTCAAATAAATTTGTGAAATGTTCTCCTTTCTTCTAAAGCATAAATAGCTAGGATAAGAAAAACACAGCAAAGCAGCCTCTAAATTGCTCAGAAAACAAGAGACATAAACCACTGAACCATTTGTCTGAAATGGTATAGGGTTTCCTACCTGAACAGGGTTGGACTAGAAGACCCCCAAGGTTCCTTCCAACTCTGTTATTCTATTCTATTCTTTTTTTTTTTTCAATATAAAATTTTATTGTTTTTATCATAAAAGAAAAAAGAAATACATCACAAGTATTACACAATGATTTATCCCATCCCCCCAACCCCCGGACTTCCCAAACCAAACCTAGGCTAACATTCAAATACAAGTAAACAAATATTAATATCTCTAACTCCAAACTCTAAACTTAAACAATCCATCTCCTCTGTGTTAATAAAAATTATTCATTTAATTAGTTCTTCAAATACCCAAAATCTTTACCATTTCAGCAAGATAGTTTAACAGCATCCCTTACTTATACAAAAAAAGAAAAGAAAAAAAAATTTCCATCTTCCATAAAGTTAACAAATTAATTCTGTCATTTCATGAAGCTACACCTATAAAAAATCATTTGGAACCCTTAATA